ACATCTCTATATTGGAATCATCTCTAGTCTAGTTACAGGCATTTACTCGTTGACCAGCACGTATCTGTAGCGGGCCTTTCCATCCTCCATATCAACAATCGCCTTGTTCGCATCCTTCATGGGGATTTCCTCCACCCAAGGGCGGATTCCCTTTTCAGCAACAAGCTGGAACATCTCCCGGATCTCATTAGGGCTGCCAACGAGGGAGCTCTGTAGCGAGAGCTGACGCATCAAGCTTCGAACAGGGGCGAACAGTCCACCATCCTCAGGAAGACCAACCTGCACAAAAGACCCACCAGTCTTCAGAAGACCCAGGTAATCATTAAAGGGCATCTTAGTAGACGAGACAGTCGAAACAATCAAATCCAAAGACCGGGCATTGACAGTAGCCCAGTCAGGCTCATCATCAGTTGCAATATAAAGATCCGCCCCCATCTTCAGCGAATCCTCCTTCTTTCCCAACTTCCGCGAGATAGCAACGACCTTATCAGCGCCCATAGCCTTAGCAAACAACAAGCCAAAGTGACCCAGTCCACCAACACCAATAATGCCCACGCGCTTGCCAGGACCACAGTTATTGTGCTTAAGCGGGGAGAAAAGGGTGGCACCACCGCACAGCATAGGCGCGGCATCAGCCGACGAGATAGCATCGGGGATCTTGATAGCAAAGTGCCCGGGCACACGGTGGTACCGCGCATATCCACCGTACGACTTACTACCGTCGTAGTGAATGCTGTTGTACGTGCCAACGACCTTCTTGCTGCAGTAGTTCTCCTGGCCTGAGGCGCACTCCTCGCAGTCGCCCTGGCGGCCGAGACAGGACTCGCTCTGGGCGCCAACTCCCACACGGTCGCCGAGCTGGATGTCGGAGACCTTGCTACCGACGCGCACGGCTGTGCCGACAATCTCGTGCCCTACGCAGCAGGGGTAGGCGGTGGGTCTCTGTGGCGAATATTAGTTTTTTTTTTTTTTCTTTCTTTTTTACACGGATGTGTTATACAACGAGATTCCCCATGAGATCTCACTGGTATGGGAAACATAAGACATACCCAGCCACTTCGAAGAGTGTGTAAATCAGAACCACAGATGCCGCAGTGAGAGACTTTGATATCAACATCGGTCTCCTCCCACTCTTTCGGCTGGAATTCTTGCCAGACCATGTTGCCCTCGCCGGCACTGGGGTCGAGACCCATCCAGCCTTCGAATTTGTAGTCTATTTGCGCCATTTTGTGAATTAAGGAAAATGTTCAATGGCACTTCTTTCCTGGGGGTCTGCCCCGTTTATATCCGAATCTTGGAAGCGGCACAGATCCCGAGTCCCACTTGGTTTTTCACACTGGAAACTTCGGATTGATGAATAATTGGTAATCAGCTTTTTCGATGGGTCCATCGAGATTTGCACTTAAGAGGGCCTATAGAGTGTGTAGTGTTTATCTGTGTTGTGGTTGAAGAAGGTCATTCCGAGACATTGGGTTTGCTGATAACCTAGCATCTACCTACGTACATACATACTAAACCTCCAATTTATAAAAACGCTGTACATGGATATGAAAATTATTTAATTCAACGATATACGAAGTACATAATAGAAATTCGCCATTTCAATGGCTTTTTGTTCTTCCTTTTTCTGTGGAGCCGTGGGTCGGCCGAGAAAAATCGGGAGTCTATTTGCATCGGCATTTCAGCCTTTCAGCCTCGGGATCCCTACATAAGACTAAGTGATACGTTATAGATTTATAGATGGTTCTCGTATGATGCATACAAAACCTTACCCTGCAAGGCTTGGCTGCATAGCCAAGATATGTCTAATTTATGTTCAAATCATCACAATAAAAGAAATTGATATTCGAGGCAGAAATGTACAGGCCTTTTGAAGTCCGTTTAGGTAGAGATGCAAGAAACATTAAACAAGTAAAAGAAAACACCAATCTATCTCATTCAGTTCAGATTCTCGCTTGCGAAAACACCTGGTTATAACATCAGCCGGTAGGGTTGGCTAGACACACTTGGCTATACCATCAATGTCATTCCTCTAAAAGAGTGACAAAATGTCGTCGTTGGATTTCTTGGTCTGGTTATTTTGAGAAGGGCCCGCATTGCCGGAGAGATCAAGACCAGAAAATCCGTTCATGAGATCACCGCTGCTGGCACCGCTCGACGAGGGCTGGGCGGCACCGGAATCTCCGAATACACCCAGGAGATCATCTAGGTTGTTGCTTGCTTGCGCTGTCGGGGCACCAGCGGCAGGGGATGCTACCCGTACGGGAGTGCCGGCCAGACCCTCCAGACCGGACATGCCGCTGGAAGGCTCGGTTTGTGCGGAGGCAGGAGCACCACCGTCGAAATCGATGTCCAGCAGGTTCTCGACGTTGTTTTGCGCCTGCGCAGGGGCTGTGGTACCGCCAGCGGCAGCGGCAGCAGCCGCGGCCAATGGGTTCTCGCGCGCGTTCTGGATTTGTTCCCTGTGGGGTGGTTAGTAACAAGTTCGATAGAACACAGGATATTGAATACGTACTCGATAGCAGCGCGCATGACAGCGTCAGCGCCGAATCGGCCGTGGCCGACAAACTGCTCGGGGGGCTTGTGGTAGACGGAGGAGAGAGTAGACAGTTCGGAAAGGAGTTGGTCGAGGAGTGCCGGTGGCAGTGAGTGGATGGTGGTGACGATAGGGGGCTTATCCGAGAGCACAATGTTCTTTGTCGCATTTGAATCGCTGGTGTTGGACAGAAGACGCCAGTAGATATATGCTCGGTCACGGACATCTGGGTTGTCATTCTCGGACGTTGCAGCCTGGAGTACCCGTTGCACTAGGCCCTGTGCCTTCTCGGGCCGCTTGAGGAATAGTTTCACCACAGCTGTGAGGATTTGCAATTGAGTCTAGAAATAGTGGTTAGTGGGTATGGTAGCATATATCAGGAGAGGAGAACAAACTGAAGAGAATTCTTCGTTGAAACCATCGACAAAGCCACCCAAGATATCACCGGCGTTGCTAATCTTTTCGGCATACTCCCCAACAATCCAGATGAGTGCCGCTCTGGCATTGGGCTCATCCAACTCATCAATGCACTGGCATAGAGTCGGGATGATACCTTCGTAGCCAGGGTATTTTCGGAAGATATCCTTGATGACAACGATCGCTTCCTGAACGACGTAGTTCACCTTGGTGTTGATGAGATCCAACAATGTGTTAACACACCGCTCGCTGGCGCTCTCAATCTTGATGGCAACCTGGCCGATTGCCCGAACAGCTCGGCGGACAAAGTCCATATCGACTTCGAGGGCATATTCCTTCAACTCAGCGAGGAGCTGGTCAACATTGCGGTCGTTCGCTATGCGCACCATGATCTCAAGTTTCTGGAACTTGACATATTGAGGGTCATTGTATTTGCAGAAGAAAACACGGAGTTCTTTGTTGAGAATGTCAGGCTCCTTCTGCAGGATAAGGTCGATATTTCGTAATGCAACATATTGCACTTCGGGGGCTGACGAAACCAATGTAACTACATGGAATTAGCAAAAAGAAACGAAGTGTAATAGAAGCAGCGAGGGGCATACCCAATGGCGGAGCCATCTTCTTCAGGTAGTTCTTCGACAAATCAGGGCTAACATTCTTCATATGTAAGAACACAGCCTTGACTGCTGCAAGAACCACACCGGAATTAACGTGCTGGAACTGAGGAGCGACTCGTTCACATATGTGCTCCGACTCCTTCACATCGGAGGTCTTATACTCAGCCAAAGTTGAAAGAATAGTGACGCGCCCCCATTCTGTGCACTCGTTCAAAGCCATAAGCATCTTCCGTAGAGTGTTACCATTAATCTGCAGAGCCTGTGTCTCGGGTGCGGTGTGGTGAATCTCCTGAAGTGCGGTCACCGAATTGGCGACGACCATGGGGTTGGGGTCTCCAATCATCTCCTGGAGCGTCTCCAAGAATCCGTTCTCAATGGCCATTGCCGGGTTCAGATCGAAAAGCTTGGCCACACAGATAGCAGCGGTCTTGCGGACATACGGCGACTCGTCTCGGAGGGTCTTGCGCAACGGTTCTTCCATGTAGTCCACCATCTTCTCCACCCGAATACAACCCATTGTTCGGATTGCAAGCGCACGAATCAGTGGGTTCGGATCTTCCGAGTCTTGTACGAAGGTGTTCACGGCGAGAATACATAGATCAGGGTGCGATTTGGCATAGTTCCTGAAAGTGAGAATCGACCGATTAGCATACGTAGCAACCTTCAGTTGTACTTTGGTACCCACATGAGATAGAGGTAGACCAATTTCTTCTGCTCAAGATCGGCTGTAGCAATATTCTTGAGAACATCTGGAAACAGGGCCGAAACATCCTTTCCTAGGGTCATAGCCATAATTGTCTTTTGAATGGATTCCTTCCTGTTACGTTGTCAGCCATACCGCATCTTCGCTATACACTACCTGGCCGGACTGAGGGCTTCACTGCTGTACATACCGTTCATAGGCATACTGGGAACTATAACAATAGTTAATATCATTCGTCATTCACTATGGCGAGGTAGCCAGCGCATGGTGGAGGGGGCCGCATACACAAGTCCAGCTCGCAATTCAAACGTCTCTCCTTTCCGAGGCACCGCAAAGGCGCCACGGATCTTGTTCATCGCCATAGCGAGGAAGTATAAGCTTCAGCAACGACTAGGTCGTGCCTCCGCCTAGAGATACCGGGGATGGGTGGGAATCGCGTAGCGTTGGGCGACTGCGGGGGGATTGGGAGCTTCACGGTCGCGCGAGGTCGGGAAATGGAATGTGTCGAGATTGTTCGTCACTTTGTCAAACACAAAGAGATACGTGAACAATCCGGGGGTGGAGAGATTTTGGGGAAGAACGGGGGAGAGAAGGAGAGAAAGGGTGTTTCGGACGATCAAAAGTTGTCCACAAATGGTGGCTTCTGGACTCTCCCGCTCTACGGCGGTCATCAACTCTCTCTCCCTCTCCTTTATTTTATCCTCTAATCCAGACCATCGCTGTCTTAATGGTACGGTTTATTCTATATTTGTCAAACTGTCAAACTGCCAAGACTAACACATCTGCAGGCTAACCTCCCTAACTTGCGACGCCTCTTTGTCGAGGCTAGAACGGAGGCGGAGGAGAACGAGTACTCACGGAAGGCCGTATGTCATTGGACCAACTTCGAGTCGATGTGATGATGCTAACAAGTTGTAGTTCTACAATCTCGTACTCTTCATTTCTTCTGTCGCCATCTTCAGCTTGACTGCTCAGCGCATGAGTGGACCGAAAGCTGGGCGATGATGGAGACCACTATATTACCATGTATTTGGGATATTATGAAGTACGAAGTATGAAATACAAAGTCACATAAACGCACAATCCGATTTCCTGGCAGCACAGCTGGTCCAACGAACTCATTAATTACGAACCCTGTGCCATCCATCAATCAGTCTCTTCGCCTTCACTCTCTAGGAACGCAAGTGACTGTCGCCCCCGAGACACCCTACGGCGAGGCTTCGCATCCTCATCATTCTCCTCGTCACTCTTGGCACCCCATTGTTTTGCACCTTGTTGGATCTGTTCTAGGTCCGCCTTCAGCTCCCGTTCTTCGCGAATCTGGTTCGCCTTCTCTTGAGATGGCCGACCAGTCATTCCAGCATCCTCCAACATTCCCTTGAGATGCTTGATTTTAGCTTTGGATGTGTCATACGGTGCCAGCTCTTTACCCCACAGCTTACGGATGCCGCATTTGATGAGCCATCCTTGCAGTCGTTTGATTTCAGCCTGGTCCGGGCTAATATCTTCATCCTTGGCTTTGGGAGCTTTCTTCGTCTTGGTCGCAGTTCCCGCAGCATTTTTCTGTCGCTTGCGTGGGGCCTTGGGCTGAGGCTCTTCATCAAGCACCACCGACATCTCGCTTTCGGAATCATCCTTGGTATCTCCGGTCTTTTTGGCAACATCTAAAGTGTCATCGGGGGCATCGGAAGCGTCCGACGCATCATTTGTGGGTTTTGATACGGAGGGCTTCTTCGCTGGCGACTTCTTCACTGACCCTTTCGATCGTTTGTTGGGCTTTGGGACATCATCATTGTCGCTCTCATCACCGGAGAAATCAGAGGCGTCCGATATATCTTTCTCGGGTTTCCGTGCGGAGACCTTTTTCACTGGTGACTTTTTTATTGGCGCTTTCGATCGACTCTTCGGCTTTGTGACCTCGTCACTCTCGTCAGATGCCGGGACTGATAGCTCATCCTCCTCATCGGATACCGGCGTCCTAGTCTTCTGGCGCTTCCTAGGCTTCGGCGCAGTCTCGGGTTTTGCTCGCTTCGCAAGGGCAGTGGGCTTTGGCTTCGGGGGAGAGGGGGACTTTTTGGTCGCTTGGGATTGTGGATTTTGTGTCTCCTGATCTTGTGTATCCTGTAAAGGCATTGCGTTCAGTGTGTTTTCCTCTGAAGCAGATCTGAAGCTGCTATCAAGCTGCTGAAGGGGCGCTGTAAATTCGAACAAAGACTCACCACTTCGTCCTTGATTATTTTCTCACTCCGCGCTTTCCAGTCACCTGTAGACTTAAAGTACCCCGCTGTGAGACCTAGTGTATCTTCTGTGGCAAGTCGCACGCGCTTGACGGTCAATTCCTCCATATTGCCCGACTTGAAGACTGCAGCCACTTGGTCGCGAAGGCCTTTCTCAAGAGCCTGGTCAGATGGAGCGCTGGGCACCTCACCCTCAGCTTCAGACTCAGAGTCGGACATTGTATACTTCGGCGGCATGTTTATATCGCGCTGTGGCAATTGGAATGAGGCTATTAAAGGTGTAGGAGTGTGTTTGAATGAATCGTCCAGCTGCTCAGACGATACGTAGATATATAAGGACCAAAGATCAAAGTAACAGAAGAAAGAAGTTTATGTCTTTCAATCAAACCGCGAACCTGGGCGCGTCTACGTCGAAGAAGCGCGGCCGGAATGGCTGACAAAGCGGGATCGAGATTGATCTGCATTTCACTTGTATGTCATATGCGACTCTTGCTCTGAAAGCTCAGCTTCTGGATCTTTAACATATTCGAAAATCATCGATCCAAAGGGTCTTAATCACTTCGTTTTTGGGGTATCTGTTTACTGACTATTGCGCCAAATATCCGTCACTATTCCCTGGTTCTCGACTCCGCTATTTCTCCGCAGTTTATTAGAAATCAACCCCAAATCACTTTCACAACTCCAGATCACCAATTTCTCGAGGGACTAAACCCTTCACAAGTGCAAAAATGTCCTCGGTTCCACCGGAGCAAGTCAATAGCCAATATACAGGCTCAGCGTCTATGTTCAGCCAGCAAACCCCCGCAACCTCCGCAAGCTCCTCCAAGCCCGCCGGAGACAATGGTTCGAAAGCCCCATTGCCCAAGGGTGTAGTCCTGGACAAAGATGGAAAGCCGTAAGTATCGAAGAATTACATACACCCAGCTCATCCGGTCTACTTGGTCAGCTGGGTCTACAGAACAAGCTAATATACCGGCCTCACAGCTGCCGCACCTGCACCTCCGTCGCCTCATGGCGAGCACTGACCAAGCAAGCCGACCTCAAAAGCACAAACTCAAGCTCTGCCTCTACCTCCACGTCAAGCACAAGCAAAATGACAACCTCAACTGCCGCCCTTGCAGCTGCTGCAACCCCCTCCCCCAGCGAAACTCCTTCAGATTGCCCGCCAGACGTCGAAGAGCTCGGTCGCTCAACATGGACACTACTGCACTCAATGGCAGCCACATACCCTGAAAAAGCAAGCATGGAACACCAGGCTAATATGAGCGGGTTCTTGAAGTTCTTCGCGAAGCTATACCCATGCTGGGTGTGTGCGGATGATTTCCAGGCATGGATGGCGCATCCGAGTGGACGGAATCAGCCGAAACTAGAGAGTCGGAAGGAGTTTGGGTGGTGGATGTGCGAGGCGCATAATGAGGTTAATCGGAAGCTTGGGAAGAAAGAATTTGATTGTCGGCTTTGGGAGGAGAGGTGGCGCACTGGGTGGAAGGATGGTCGATGTGATTGAGTTGTATGTTTATGGTGGTTTTGTTGGAGTGGTCTTCTCTCTACTCCTCGGTTTGAACATCTCCCTTGTATATTAGATTAGATCTGCAGATTTTGGCGAATCGATATGGATTGTACTTTTATCACTACTGGCTGGGTAAATATATACCAGGCGACTAGAGACATGATCTTCAGGTTATGACTGGAATACAGAACTTTGGACAAAACATGTTCGCATACAAACTAGATCGCTAAGCAATTATAATCTTGGATACAAAAAGACATCTAGACAAGGGGATTGTGTGCAGGAAATTTTGTCTTTCTCCCAGCCGAAAAAAAAAAATTGAAAAGCGCCGCCAAACACAACTTATCCTCGTGCAGATGAAAATGTACCCATTTGTAACTTCATTTCAAGAAGAGAAAAAAGGCAGAAAACCGTTATGCTTCGTCATGTGGCAATTAAAATTGACTGGGGACGAACAGGCGCAGGCCGCTGGCCGGGGCACCAATCTCCGTAACATCCGATATACGGTCGACACTTCCCTTGTACTGGGGGTGGTATTTGGCACCAGTGAAGGGGTCTGAGACACTGGGAGAGCCACTGTAGATGGGAGTGTAGGAGGCAGCGCAGATATCGAATTCGGCGAAGGGGTCGAAGTCAATATCGATCTGATCCTGTGGGTTGCGTTCACATTGAGCTTTGATCTTCTTGGCCTGTTTCTCGTTGTTAGTAATGGTATATCACTAGTTGAAGTTTCAATTTTAAGAAAAGTCTTACCTGTTCCAGAAGCTTGGCAGAGCCTCCATTGGCCAGCATGCGGTTGGCAAAGCTCAAGGCTGAGCCGTAGTTCTTGTTGGCAAAGGCCAACTTCATGGCAGCCATCAATGCCAGTTGTCGGTGAGCGACCTCGAGCTTGGGGATTGTGAAGTAGGCGGACAGCTCAAGGCTGCGCTTGAGACCCTCAGGGGAGTCGGTGGCGAGAGTACGGCGCTCGAGCTCGATCGACATTGCGAGGATGTATTCCCGAGCAGTGGCAATGATCTTCTTTGCCTCCTCCACGTCGGCTTCAGATGAGACGGTGTTAACGAGAAGAGTGTGAAGAATGCGCTTGAAGGTTGCTACACCGTCTTCCAATTTGTTGGACCGCATAGCGGCATAACCTTCTTGCAGATCAACGCTAGCAACTGTCTCTAGGTCCCGGGGAATGATGGGAAGCATCTTCCGGGAGTCGGTTTCGTCGACGGTCCGGCGCACATAGTTGACCAAAGGCGGCAGGCCAGCAGTCGCCGGGAGATAGGTCTTGGTTGCCTTGTAAACTTCGAGGAAGCGAGGCTTGAGAGGAGCGAACTGAACGGCACCAACTTGACGGTTCAAGAGCTGCATCGCAGTGTCGAAAGAGCCAGCGGCGACATGGTCGGCAGCCAGCGGGGAGTTACGAGCCCACAAATCGGCCTCAGAACTGCCCGCGCCAGCTTCGGCGCTTTCCACATTGACGAAGTCGACCTCTTCCTCAACATTGACATCATCACCCATATCCCATCCGGAAACTTCCTCCTCGTCGTCCTCAAGGGTTTCCCGGGCGACGGCAGCTTCTTGCTCCTCTTCCTCAATCTCGAATCCCTCGGCACCAGCCTCTTCGTCAGCGGCACCAACCTCCCCAAGAAGCGCCTTCTCAAAGGAGGAGTGACCAGCAGCCTTAACAGGCCAGTTGGACTTGAAAGTGGGGACAATAGGTTGAGGAACCTTCAGAGGTTGCTCGATTGTGGGTAGGACAATCTGATCTTCGGTGAGACCAACAGCTTCCAAAATAGACTCGGCCTCTTCAATCAGACCATGTGACTTGGCAGTAAGATAGGCAAGAGGGTCTGGCGGAAATTAGCATGAAAGAAACAATCGCCACAAGGGTTAATACATACACAAGTCCACTTCCTTGAACATCTGGATTCGGTCCTCAACGTCTCCACGGTAGATGGCGTTTTGGAAACGAGAGGTGAAGTCACCACGGTGTTCGGCAATCTTGGCCATGCGAGAAAGCTTCTCCTGGTCGCCAGTAGAGAGGTATAGGAAAGAGAGCTTGTCGAAGTTACGCTGCTTTTGGTAAGTCATTTCGACGATCTGGTGGTTACCATGGGCCAATGCCTCAGCTCCAAGTCTGCTCCAGACATTGGGGCGATCGAGTTCCCGCGCCATTTCATTGGCAACCTCGAGGTTGCCACATTCAAGGGCAAGATCAAAGCGGGTCTGGGGATCTTGCACGAATTGCAGAGCAATCTCAGGGTAACCCTTCTTCTGCAGATAAGAAATGATGCTCTGGCCAACCAAACTCGAAGTCTTGATAATCTGGAGCATTTCATCGTAATTCCGCTTCACGAGGGCGAGCTTGAAACGGTACTCTGTCGGGTCAATTTCCAAGATGCGTGGCTGGGCATTGCGATCAAGGGCATAGACGCTGCGTCCCTTGACACGAACAAGGTATACGGTCTGGTCAAGGGTGCGGATAATACCATTATCACCGTTGAGAAGGGAGTACTTCACATGGTTAAGAGTGGAGTAGAGCAGGACACCGGCATCATCCCAGGTAGCACTCTTGATGCGAATAGTCTCGTGCAGGGTGCTGACCTGCTCGAGGGTCTTGGTCACAATGGTGACATTGTGTTTGCTGAGCAAAGCGCAGTATAACCCATCGTTGGACCACACCACATATTTCACTCCGCTGACAGCAAGCTCTGCAAGCTGCTTCTTCTGTTGAATGTCGAACAGAGCAACATGTGTAGGGGTGATGAAGAGCAGGCATCCGGTGCCACCAAAGTAGATATCGGTTGTGCCCGCGGGGGGGGCTTGATTGTCTTCGTTGTGGAGTTGCTGAGATCCTTGATATCGACCTGCTGGCTCGAGGGGTTGAAGACAGCGAAGCGGTTGCGGGCGACGAAAACTGCCGAAGTGGCCTGTCCACGCTTAACGTCTGTAGGCTCAACAGCCCCAGTAGCATCTCTGGGGAGATGAATCAGTTCATAAGTTCCATTATCGGCGGGCGTGGTAACGAGAATAGCGCGCTCGGCGGGGTTGTAAGAGAGGGTACGCGGAGGGACCCATGGGGAACCCAGCTTGCGCAGGGAAAGCATCGGCGGCGACTCAACATTCTTGCCGAAGTCATATGATTTGACGTGCTTATCCTTGGTGATGTAAAACAGCTGGTTCTGGTAGATAGCAGACGCAGGGCGCTCTCGCTCGAGCTTGAAGACCATAACACCAGTGTCATGGCCCGCGGCAAACAAGTTCATCTCGGGGTGGGCGGCGATAACCCAGAATCTATCATGGTCACGCTTGAAGGACTGAACGGATGTACGTTTGTTAAGATCCCATGCGCGAATCGTCTTATCTTCGCCAACGGAAAGGATGAGGTCCTGGTGTGGGTGGAACAAAGCGGCGGAGGAATTTTGGAAATGGCCGCGGCAAGTATCGACTTCCCATGCCTTGGTATCACTCATCCGCCAGAGCTTGACCAACCGGTCGTCACCGGCAGACACGAGCAAGGGCAGTGTGGGGTGGAACGACACCCAGTTAACTCCGCGGTCATGACCTTCCAGCACAAACTTAACGACTGCATCGGTGTTTCCAAACATATCAGCTTGGTTTGGGTTGGCTCTTGCCATTTGATCTTCGAAGGAAATCGAGGTAGGGGCCGAGTGCTTCTTCCGCAGGCCGGAAATGTCCCAAATGCGAACCGACTGATCCAACGAGGCCGAGGCAATAAGATCCTCCGTAGGGTGGAACTGAGCGCACATAACATAATGGTTGTGACCGGTCATCGTACAGACTAAAAACAAGGCAAAGGGTTAGTCGGTGTTGTTACAGGTAGCTTCAATGCGTCTTACTGAGTGACCGGTTTTGCCAGTTCCAGATTCTGATGGTTTGGTCATCGGACGCAGACAGAATCCAGGGCAGCTCGGGGTGGAAGAAAACTGTTCGCACATAATCCAGGTGGCCATTCAATGTGAACAAACACCTCCGGGTCTGGTAGTTCCAAACCTTGATCTTGTAGTCGTCACCTCCCGACACAAACAGGGGCTGGGTCGGGTGGAAGTCAACGCCGCGAACTGGGCCATCGTGTTCTTCGAATCGATCGATAAGAGTTCCCATGCGGTAGTCCCACAGTTGGATGGTAGAGGAGTGGAGGGAGACGAGAATCCATGGCCTGTTTTGAGGTCAGGGTGGGTGCTTTGAGGTGTTAGGTGTCCCTCTGCGGGATTGACTGACCGTTTGGGATGGAATGCGATTCCTTTAGCTCTGGAGGATTTCGACTCAAACTGCACGAGGGAGAGAATCATTAGCATCCTCAATTGAGTCCCATTGTTTGATGGCGCATTAAGATGCCCGAGGGGGGCGTACCTTGGTGAGCATGTTTGGGGAGGACTGCATCTTGAAGATTTGGCCGGAGCCGCACTGTAAAGTAGCAAGCTCCGCACACTAGAGAGCAATAGAAGGCAGAGGCGACCACCGTATCCACCTGAAATAAAGAAAAGAGCGAAAGGTAAACACTTGGTGCTGGTGTTTGGTGTAGCAGTAAACTAAACGTGGACTCTATTGTGGAAGCGAATGACATCGGCCAATCATGCTCCCGGGCGGTGAGCGGTCAGGGGGGAGCTGGTCTCGATCTTGACTTTGTACAACAAGTTATTATAGATTTGTTTTTATATCAAGGTCAAGGAGGACATTTTCGATATATTCTAATACTATGGATTGAAATTAACCATGGTTTGTCTTTTTTGACTATACATCCAAACTTCAACTTCGACGAGTGGAGATATATCTTATTCCCCATCTTCCACCCCCACGTTAGAAACATCTGGAAGACCATGATGTTATGACGACCATGACTTTCTTGCGGCTTCCATTTCTCCTACACTTTTACTGGTCTCTTTCTTGTACTTAGTCTTTTAATAGAATACATCTCTTTCATCATATACTGCATCGTCCTTCCTTAGAAGCCCGATTATGGATTCTGCGACTTGACCATCTACCTTGCATTGGAACGGAATATCAACATCGCTCGGGTTCAAGGCTTGATATAAAATAATGGAGGACCTCCCAATGGATGATGGCACGACTTCTGCCAATCAAAACCGGCCCTTTGAAAACTTCGCCGAGTTTACTTCTCCTGCTGCAGCAGACCACCAGCCGGAGGAAAGTGAGCACAGCATGGACGGCTCAGGACCCTCAACGCCTACCCATGACATTCATCCGTTCGAGGACAGTGATGATATTCGGGTCATCAAGCCCTACGATATTGAAGAGCCCGACGATGAGCTAGAAATTAGTGTGCCAAGGGTAGATCTACTATGTCTCCCAGATCGGCTCGAGCGATGGCAGCGCGACTTGACAGACTACCTGAACGATCTAGACTATCAACCTGGTGGGTTTAATAGCAATACAATTCCATTGGTGCGAAAGAGAGGGCAGAAGAGAAAGCCAGCCCGCAACACTCTCGCTACACAGCACGGGGATCCGCCTTTCTCACAACGACATACATCACCCGAGACCCAGTATGAACCGCATGACCATCGCCCCAAAAAGCGAAGGTTTAGCGAATTTCAAAAGTGGCATTCTCAAGACATAGACTCATTTGGCACTTTCCGGGAAGACAACGCAAATGAAAGCTCGGGTTCCGAAACAGCATCGATCGACCTAGGCAACGACATCATGGACGACTCGCCTATGGCCGATGAGATGGATATCGATTGAACTGTCTATTATAATCACATTCCCATCGGTCATTCTCAGCGAAGTCACTGAAATTTGTCTGCGGATTTTCCTATATAACATGACGTCATATATATATCATGACAGCCCTGGAGGCTAAAACCACTTTGCTGTATCAGATATCTTTTGGCCTTTACCACCATCTAAGGCATCCACCATTCATCATGGTTACACGAACATCCACACGCCATGCTGCCCAAAAGGCCAAGGAAGCCATTTCAACTTCCGCCGAATCGACTGGCAAGACACCCAAAGGCACAAAGCGGAAAGGTTCAACCAGAGAAGCTCCTCAGCCCAAAAAGGAGAAAACGGAGGACATAAAGCTAGACAAAGACAAAGCGGAGCAGGTAACAGGTACATCGGAAGACGGACCAATGCCGACAGCAGAGGAAGAACCTGTCGAGAGAGAAGAACCTGCCGAGAGAGAAGAACCTGCCGAGAGAGAAGAACCTGCCGAGAGAGAAGAACATGTCGAGAGAGAAGAACCCGTCAAGACAGAAGAACCATCCGAAGTCCAACCTACAAAAGAGCAGCCCATCGAAATCCCTCCGGAGAAACCCCAAGAAATCGAGGGAGGTCTCCGTAAGTCCGAGGAGAGAGAAAACGTGGTATCCTCCAATATCCTCGAAAAAGGCTTCATCTACTTCTTCTTCCGCCCACGCGTCAATATAGAGGACCCTCAGAGTATGGGCGATATCGCCCGAAGCTTCTTTGTCCTCCGTCCAACTGTCCTCGGGGCGAAATTCGATGAAGGCCAAGGCCCCGTCGACAAAGACGCCTCATGTCGCTTGATGATTCTCCCAAAAAAGAAGTTTCCTACCTCAGCCAAAGAACGAGATATGGGATTTGTAGAGAAGGCTGGACAATCCATGCAAGCTCTCCATGAAAACTTCATCGCTGGTAAAACATACCAGACTTCCACCCGAGGTGAACGTCACACCGAGGAAGCCAGACCGTACGCAGAAGGTGTCTATGCGATTACGTCCACACAGCGGGCATCCCATCTCGCCTATATCCTGACCATCCCTGCCGAGTTGGGTGATGTTCAGGAGGACTTCGGTCTGCAACCACGCGGGAGTTGGATTGTTCAATCGAAGAGTCCCAAGTACGCCGGTCCACCGGTGGGCCAATTGCCAAAGGATCCAGAATATCCTCAATCGTAAGGACTCTCCCATATATAGATTGTGGTATTGTGATATTAACAACGCTCTTGTTAGGGTTCTTGACAAATTCGGAGATCTTCGATGGGTGCCTCTGCAGCCCGAGTTCCTGGACTATCCTAATGCTCAATTTCTCATGATCGGTGAGGCACAGAATGACCTTGGCAAGGCTGCATTTGCTATGGGTGGTAAACAGCACCACGAGGAAGAGCCTGGTCAGGAATTGGAGAAACTGTCAGACGAAGACCAGCATCGGGTTGATTCTCTTAAAGGTATGTTGCTGTCTTGATTCTCTGTTGATTAGGCTAATATTGACCCGAACCCCAGGAGATGAAACTGTTTATGAAGACTTGGGTTATCATGCGAAGAATTACCCCAAAGTGCCCACAACTTGGAACACTTGAACCCTGTATTTTGGCAGATCACAAATCGGGACCTAGAATCAAAAGTAATTTTACCAATCACACTTACACATGGAAAAGTATTTTACATCTTATTCTGTAGTTTGCCAGTTATTCTTATCTTTCTGGCTATAAAACGACATCCAGAGAGCCATCGCACGGTTAGCTAAAGTATATATAACATTTCAATGCTATCTTAAGCAAAATTGGTAGGTAAGATTATGTATTCATCCCCTTCCTGCATCGTCAAGAACAGAGGCTGTATAAGCGGCCGACTACGTCCTCTTGTTTTATTTAACGAATGAATTTTAGATTATACTCAAATCAGCATGTGCTCCTCCATCAATCTCTTATATTTCTGTCTGTAACTACCTAAAGTACATAGTTGAGGCTACAAGTACACAGCTGAAGTAGCGCAACTAAGCTTGAGTCCTTCCCCAAATTCAGAGATCGCAAAAGTCGTAATTGATCATGGTTGCGTCAAGAAACAAGAAATAAAAGTTATGATTATTTGAAGTAGAAATGGCGTTATCAATCGCGGCGCATGATGACAATTGGTATCGAGAACGCGTCCTGTGGGAACATATCCATTCAAGTACCAAAACATCGATCGATGAAGGGAAACCTAATTTTGGACTACTTTTATGGCATGCAAAATGTCCTCAAGAGACCATCCCGGCCCGCCGGGAACAATCTCTGCCCAAACCTCTTCGGGAACGGCATCGTTGGGGTCGAGTAGACTCCAATTTGGACTAGGCTCTGGCTTGATCCATTTGAAATCCTCGACCTGGCTCCAGCGGTCTTCGTGGTCGGGACGGTCATGATTCAAGGCCTAGATAGAAAATGTCAGTATACAACGGGAGGGAGGAAATAGCCAAGAGGAGAACACTGACATAGGCTTTCGGGATCCGACCAAACCGAATATTGGAACAGTCCTCAATAATGGGGTTACTAGAACAGCTGAGGTAGACATCAACGTCGCTGCAGTTGTGCATGCGGAACTGACGGCACGATACCACAATCACACTACGCTCAATACCAGTAATATGCGCAGGGCCATTGACTCGACCGCAGATCAATAAACTTTCTTTGACCCCCTTGGCAGTCAGACTGGCATATGGCTTTCCGTTGGCAGTAGGAATGGACATGTCAACGATGCAGCGATCCAGAGAGGTAATAGAAACCGGGACTGTGGATGTCGACCCGGAGGCTGGAAGCATAATGTGAAGGTTATAATGGTCATCGACCGACACAGAGGATATGCCGGTGGCCGCAAACGCACCAGCGGGCTTTTCCGTGTGGGACTTTGTGGAAAAGTCCTCGGTCGAGAGACCTGGGAATGAAGTGGGTGCAAGTTCTAGTCGCTCTTGTTGCTGACTATCCGGCTCGTTCAATGGAGTGGAAGGATAGTTGGGGGTGTGGTTCGTGGACGAGTCAACGGACGAGGCACCTGGAGAGTGGTACCCAGGGACGCTAAGCCGCCCTTCAACTGCTAGCACGGGAGCATCAGGTAAAGATACAGCTGAGGTGTTTTTCTTGGTCTTGAAGCTAAACTTTGATCGGGGCTCGAATGCTGCACGTGTCTCGCTCAATCGATCCTGCAAAGCTTTGATTGCCTGTAGAGATGTCAGCTATGCTCTATCAAAATAGAGTGTGAGTAGCGTTTACCTCTGCGTATACCCTCTGATCGTAGGTGGGGATGTAGCTCGCTGCATCCTTGACTTCATTGGATAACCGCACGATCCCAGCAAGGCAATGGTCTGTTGCATCGGCACGCTCACCACCCACGAGAGATGTATCTGCAAGACGATCCATCTCCTGCTGCAAATCTGGAACAATAATATTATTAGCAAAAGTCTTTTTTATTATTTTGCTTGAGGATGAAGTGGCGTGTGAATATCAACGGGAACATACCGGTGATCTCATGCTGGAAGTAGCGGAAGAAGCGTTCCTTCAAGGAGATATCAGCTTTGGAGACTGTCTGATTATCCGCCGACAGTCGACGTATGTGTTGTATATCAGACTCAGCCATATTGTCCAGATGTGGAAGGATTCAGGATTGAAAGTGGAGATGAAAGACTGAGGAAGGTCGGTCTGTGAGATGGGAATGTAGCAATGACGTCGATTCCCTTTGATCATGCCACCCCGCAATTGAAGCCAAATCAATCAGATCCTCACTTCCAGAGCTTCCAGGCTTATTTGCGACTGATGATTGGCACTGCGATATAAGCAAAAAACCGCAATATTTCCCCACATTCAATTTTCTTTTAATAATTTATATCAATCCTCTCGGGCTCGAAATCCAAGATAAGTTCGGATATTCGGAAAGTCGGACTATATCCAAGTCGATCCCACAGTATCCAGTTATTAAAACAACCTTTTTTTTTTTTTTTTTTTTTTTTGAAGTGATGGGCCTCAGACCTCAGATTGACGCGATAATCACTGCAGCTTCACTGTGACGTCGATCATCCCGCATTTCACGGAGTTCGGAAATCAGATGATCCGAGTGGATGTTCAGGCTATAAGGCATCAACTTAATTTTATACTTCGTCTTTTTGTACTGAACCACATTCATCATGTTACCCTGCAATGGAAGATTAAATACATATAATCACAAGTCCCTCTGATTGAAGATCTGCCAAGGGCCCGTTTATTACATTTATTTTCTATCACTGGATTGACACAGAATGAGATGATCGATTCCAAGTTTGATGGCACAATGTAGACCCTTGAGGCTCTTGTTGGTCTTCTGAGGGATGTGAGAGCCTTGAATGAGCACACTACTCTTTTACGTGAGGGTTATACAGCGGGAATACTGGACTAAAATATTGTAACATAAGGTTTTGCTTAGTTGTACAAGCACTTGGAAGCTACCCAAAGGATACTATTCACCAGGTCATCCCGGTTGAGAAGCTCCATATATCCGGGATCATACATATTATGTACGGTCCCTAACACCCAGTGATCAAAACAGAACTATATGGCATTATGTGGAGTATAAAGTTGATGTGTGCTTTGGTTAGTGTACATGTACAGATAATCTCTTACCCATCGCCATTAAGAGCTCAGACACATATCGATATATCCCGTAGTCTCTAAAAACAGGTACGGCATATCTGGAGTAACAGTTCACAATTATGCCTTCCCTTTAGATGTATCTATCCGGGAATACCGACAACAGCAGGAATATATATGTATCGTAGCTTACACAAATGGACTTTGGCTCGGCAGTTGGCAGATATCGGTGACTATCATGTTGATGTGCAACGTTGTCCTGTTGTATCCCTACTTGGTATCGACGTCATACATATACGTTGAGTACTTAGCTCGGATAGTTTTGATCACTTACGAGATGATATCTAGGTCTCTTTATGAATGTCGATGTACGGGGTATATTTACACAATCTGATTGATCCAGCGTGGTTTTTATTCACCGTGCCTGTTTAGCAAGAATTTAATAACAAAATGAAACTTCAATTTCTGTTTCTTCAGGCCCTGGCCGTCGTGCTATGTTATCTCCAGTCGGCGATCGCCGTTGATCCCAGCCATCAGCGGGTTGAACAGCTAAATAAGGTGCCGGATGGCTGGTCAAGAGGAGATAGACCGTTGTCCACCAAACTTATAAAATTCCGACTAGCGATCAACCAACATAATTCCAGGGAGTTCGAGCAAAAGGTCATAGAGCTCTCAACACCAGGCCATGCGAGCTATGGTCAATATATGAAAAGAGACGAAGTGAAGCAATTTTTGAGTCCATCTCCTGCCATTTCAGACCAGATTATCGCATGGCTACAATCAGAAAATGTTCCAACCAGTTCCATAAAGCTAGACAGCCATTGGATCTCATTCACAGTTCCAATCTCCCAGGCCGAGCAGATTCTGAAAACAGAGTTTTTCTACTTTCATCAACAAGATCAGCAAAGCACCGCCATTCGAACTCTTGGCTATTCAGTGCCTAGGGCTTTACATCCCAACATTCAATTGATTCAGCCTACGACTGGATTCGGCAATCTCGTACCTCAAAAAAGCTTCACTTTCAAACCGAAGACAGTGACATCCGAGCAGCTAGCTGCTGGATGCGAGGTAACTATCATACCAGACTGCCTTCGGGATCTGTATGGAATTGACAACACAACCACCAGACCCGAATGGCGGAATCGACTGGGGATATCTGGTTTCTTGGAACAGTATGCTCGCCACGCTGATTTCGATGAGTTTCTGCGCTATTACGCCCAAAGTCACACAGATGCAAACTTCAGTGTCGTCTCGATCAACGGTGGCCAGGATGATCAACACTCCATGTCTGATAGTGTCGAGGCAAATCTAGATATACAGTACTCTATTCCGCTGGCAGATGAAGTGCTAGCAACATTTTATAGCACTGGTGGGCGCGGCCCTGTTGTCCCCGAAATAACTAATCCAGACCCCACCGAATCGTCAAACGAGCCATACCTTGAACAGCTCCATTACCTCTTGAATCTCCCAGATGAAGAGCTCCCTGCGGTGCTTTCCAACTCGTACGGAGAAAACGAGCAGAGTCTTCCACCGTCGTACTTGAACGCTACTTGCAGCCTATTTGCCCAGCTCGGTGCACGGGGCGTTTCAATACTTTTTGGTAGCGGAGACACCGGCCCGGGGAGTTCTTGTGTGAGAAATGATGGGACGAATCAAACCAGATTTCTCCCTGGATATCCAGCTTCCTGTCCATTTGTTACAGCTGTGGGCGGAACATACGGCATCAATCCCGAAAGAGCGGTTTCCTTCTCCGGAGGTGGGTTTTCAGAGGTCTTCCCTCGTCCCCAATACCAGGACCAGGCAGTGAAAGGCTATCTTCATCATCTTGGAAGTCGATGGGATGGACTTTACAATGCTACGGGAAGAGGATATCCCGACTTATCAGCCCAAGCCTCCAATTTCATCGTTCGAGACCATGGCGAGTGGATCTCGGTCGGCGGTACAAGGTTTGTGTTTGGCAGATTTTCAGAGAGAACAATGAACTGACTGCATACAGTGCTTCAACACCAGTGATTGCAGGTATTGTTTCTCGGCTCAACTCTGCCCGCATTGCGCAGGGTAAGCCTCGAATGGGTTTCCTGAACCCATGGCTTTATAGTCAGGGGCAAACAGGGCTCACTGATATTGTCCTGGGCAGCTCCACGGGCTGTCAACGGAATCCAGGCGATGCTCGAGTACGAAATGCAAGCTGGGATGCCACTGAAGGGTGGGACCCGGTAACAGGGCTAGGCACACCTTTGTTCCGTACGCTTGTGAAATTGGCATTGTCAAATGACCATGTGTAGACATATGAATTTGAGTGATATATAGCTATTGCAGACACCGAATCATGATGTAGTTCACTAATAATTCAACAAACAAGATAACAAATTGAATAGCCCGACTTGTGGTAGTACGTAGCAAAGTCAACATCCAGATCGGCGATTATTAAAGTGCCCACACGTGACTGCAAGCTGACCGCCTACCGCAGCTCCGTCATGAGCATCGGAATGTCACCAACAATCATCAACCAAAACTCGAACCCTCTATTGTCTCCGCTGTTTTAATTACTGCCTTCGTCATAATCCGGCTAGGCTGCCTTATTACCTTTCAGCATTGTCCTGAACCTACACAACCTCCACCATGTCTGACCTCCAGTCCCTTGTGTCTGAGCTCCACGGTGCTATCGAGCGCAAACAGTTCGACGCCGCCAACGACCTCCTTAGCCGTTCCAAGCGAGCTCTCCTTTTGCAAAATGCCTTGATTCCGACTTCCTCCACACCTCCCCAGCTTGTCGTCCTTGCCCGCCAAGTCCTTGAACTCGGAGCACTCGCCTCCATCCGCCAGACCGACGCCCAGCTATTCACACGGTACTACCAGCAACTGCAGCCATTCTACGATCTTGAGAGACATGCCGGTCTTCCCGGGCAGAGTTCTTCGGAAGTAGACTTCAGCACTAGCCAGCGCAGCAAGATTACAGGACTGTATCTGCTTCTTCTTTTGAGCATGGGCGATAGTGCCAACTTCCACACAGTGCTAGAGGGATTGGTGGAAGAGGCAAGCTTGAAGGGTGGCCGTGTTGAGGATGATGCGTGTATCAAGTACCCCGTTGAGCTGGAGCGCAACTTGATGGAGGGAAGCTACGACAAGGTGTGGAGGGAGACGAAGTCCGAGCGTGTTCCGTCGGAAGACTTTGGTCTGTTTTCAAATGTAGGTTGCATGCGTGCTCAGTTCGCAATTTAATATATCCTCTAGCAAGGATACTAACCAGAAGCTTTATAGGTTCTCATCGGTACTATCCGCAATGAAATCGCAGGTTGCTCAGAGAAGGCATACCCCTCCCTCCCCATTTCCAACGCCAAGAACCTCCTCTTCCTCGAGTCTGAGGGCGCAGTCATCGAATTTGCCAAGCAGCGCGGCTGGATCCTCCGAGACGGCCGTATATACTTCCCTGTTGAGCCCGAGGCGACTGCTAGGTCTGAGAAGGATATCCTGGTGGCTAGCGGCACCGTTATTGAGAATGCTTTGGGTTATGCTCGCGAGCTAGAGACTATTGTCTAATTAAACGCTCAATGGATCAATGGGAACGATATACTTTCTTCGGATATGCTTTTTCTTGTCTCCGGGCGCGGATGTACTTGTATACCTGTCGCTTATGCATTCTGCTTTGTCTAGCGTGTTCATGACCACAATCATGTTAGAATAATTTCGGCTTACGAATTTCCAGTAGTATTTTAGCTAACGCCCGGGCGTAGACTACCCGAAATATGTACGTGGTCCGGTCTCGGTATCTAGGTAAGCTTTCGAATTGGCATGGCTTTTTATTTGCCTATAGATCAACAGTCCAAACACAAAGCCTGCGATCATAGAAACTGCTTGAGACACACAGAATCCCAGAAGACTGGGCCGTTTCCTGTCCGCCCTCCCACACACCACTGGCATAATTCATGCTCTCATGCTCGGTAAACTTCGCCAGAACCTCAATCCCCCAATTCGGAACCCCATCTTCCTGTTTGCAAGTAACCCGCACAAGCCTTGTCCCAGCATGCATGCAGCTTGCCAGCACCAAAAAGCGGTACTCAGATACATTTGACGGGTCATCTGAACCAGGAATCCTCGTCGTATTCAGTAATTGCAGTCGCCAAACCCCACCATCAAGACCTTCCTCGGCGAGAACCTCTCCCCTCCGCGTAGCATGGTACACACGAAGACTCTCGTCATAAGATCCCGTTAGAAGAACCGGTGCATCATCAACCAAGGGAACATCAAGAGGCAAGATAGCAGTGACACCAGCGGTGTGGTGGCGAGCTCGATCATCATGCTCGAGCAGCATGGGCGAAACATGTTCATCTGGATCTTCCAACTCGGTGGTATTGTCAAATCGGCGCGTGTGTAATGAACCGAAGTCATTACCCGTGAACATGAACGGGATCGCAGCTGGGTTTTGCGTCTCGGCATCTGGGGTTCCTTTACTCGTTGACAAAGCAACAAACCAGACTTCAATCATCTGCTTGGCTTCATATGTACCCCATTCTTCTATACTTTGTTCTTGGTGGATATCCCCCTCTGTCCCGAAGACGGCTGTCCGGCTATCTGAGAATGTGACGGCGAAGCCATCAGCTTCGGGACCGGGGAACCAGTTTTGCGGTGCCCAGGCGAGGAAAAGTGCTGGGATTGATGAGTCTTCATGTACTTGCTTCGTCCATAGTTGGGTGATGCTTGGGCTTGCGGATGCGTCTCCGGTGGTGGATACTTGGAATAAAGACACTGAGCCCACGCTGCTTGCAATTGCAAATAGGTTTTTGTTTCTTGGGTGGAAATGCAGGTCAAAGACTGCGTATGGGACAGCAATTCTTTGGATTTGGGATCTGAGGGCTGTTAGTGGCTTCGTTATGAGGGTGTTATGTTTGCCCTCGAGCTGACTGGTATGTAATATGATTGGTTTTGGCTTACAATGCTTTGCTAACAGGGTCTAGTTTCCATAGTTGCAGACTCCCAGTTTTGGACTGCTCGATTTCTCCATCTTCTGTTTTGTTCTCTGATAGAAGATAGGTGCCCACGATGAAATGGTCTGGGACCTCGGGGCAGAACTCTAGACAACTGGGTGGCTGGTCTAGAAAGACTGTAGTCGCTGACTGGGGGTGTTGAATACTTGTCATTTTGATCTAGTCCGAGTTTGGAATGATTCTAGACCTTGCAAGCCTCGGAGTTCAGTCGTCGACTCCGGAGGGGCGGAATGTGGCGTCTGGATATGCCCGGCAAGATGACGGCAGATGGGGCTTATCAGATATCCGAGTCGCGTGACACACTATTTCCACGCTGATAATGCGCAGGCTGAAGGAAATGGGGCCCTTTGACGATCCAGTTGCTCTTGGATTGTTACTCCGAAGGCTTCGGAGTAAAAAACCGCATAGTGGGGCGGTGAGAATCCACCTTGAAGTCAAGGATGTTGCCTCTACGGAGTACAGTACGGAGTATAGTCTGGATATGGACTGAATATGTATAGTTGTCGTTTTGTATGTGCAGCTGCGGAATGGCAATGCCGAATTCGGAGTATCCAACCAATAAAACATACCGTCCATAGTAATTTCCTAGAGCCAATACTACATTGTAGTCACTATATATAGTTTCTACTAGGATTATATGTTGAAATGGTTGCATTTTGCGGAGTTATTCCGGAGAAAGTAAACATAAACTAGATAATATCAAAGAAAAAACAATACAATCCCACGTGAATAGCAGATGATACACACCCTCGTCGGTTGGACGTGCAGTAATAAGATCAGTCTCACGCATGCCCGTCTTACGCCATGTCTTATCCCTCGAGCTATTGTTTCACCGCATTGCATGGCCCCGTTTTTTAACCCTGTGAGACATTCAGCCCTTTAACAACGTCCGATAAAAGGGCCCGGACACGCAATACGGCCTTGGTTCTACTATCTACCTACATAGTCGTACTGGGTACATAACACCGGGAGTTCCGACGGTTGCCGACGGACTGGTTGCCGACGGACTAGATCCGACTACTCCGTAGACACATTGACAGATTTTCGTAATAGTTTTAGATCCATGGGGTAAGTAGATCAATCTTGATCGAAATATGGATGTCACGTAAGGTCGTGAAGGTCCATTCGGGACATTGGTGCAGGGTGTGTGCGCGTAGCATGTACATAGGTAAGACTTCGGATCTGCAACAAAGGGCGTGAACTCTAAGTGTGACACACAAGTTGATATTTCTGTATTGTCCTCCTCGTACTTCGTAGTCGATACATTGATGATGCATCAAAGTGCATTGGAGGTGCATTTGAGGCGTCGATCACGATGTTCGGCTTAAATGCGAGGGCGATCTGAATTGACTCATTTCCAATAGAAACCCGCTAACGACACGAGAACAAGGAACTCCAGGTGCCTAAAACAAACAGTCATCTTAATCTCCATGAGCTAACTTAATGCAATGATATTTTATATGGGGTCCTACCGCCTAAGAGCTACTTAACTAATTTCTTCTCTGCCCCCACTTTTTCTTTCTTCTCTTGTCAATCACTCAATATATCAAAATGGACGGTACAAAGCCATGGGGCTATAAGTGGCGTTCATCTCGACTGTTGGTGGTTTCATCTATCACGGTTGCCTTATTCGCAGGTATGTCTGGTTGTTTCATATACCGAACTTTTTTTTTTTTTTTTCTTTTTTCACACCTGAATCATACTAACAATCCATCAGAGACATTTCTTTATGGATTTCTTACTCCGATTTTGAGTTATATGCTTGAAGAACGACTGCATCTTGATCCATCACAAACTCAGACATTTACTACAGCATTGCTCACCACTCATGGGTTCATTGGTCTCGTCTCTGCACCGATTATCGCTCACCTTGCCGAGAAGACTTCGAGCCAAAAGAAACCACTATTGATTGCTTTGGCAGGATGTTTTGTGGGAACTCTGATGATTGCTCTCGCCCCATGTCGTATGAGCCTCTAAACTTGACTACGACTTTTGGAAGCTAACTATCGTGAACAGTTTGGGTACTCTTCGTTGGTCGCGTCCTGCAATCTATGGCGGGTGCCGCCACTTGGGTGGTTGGATTTGCTCTTTTAGCAAACAATGTGGATAAGAAAAACCTCGGGCAGTCGATGGGGATGGCCATGTCATTTGTAACTGCAGGAATGGTTGGCGGACCAACAGTGAGTGGTGCATTGCTTCAGCTATTTGGCTACTGGGCTGCCTGGTCACTTCCCTTGATCGTACTTGTCTTGGATATCGTTGCCCGTCTGGTCATGATTGAGCCTGGTCTCAAATCCCCCAAAGCAGCTGGCAAATCAGTTCTCAACAATAACGGGGCCCCAGAAGAATCGACTGCTCTACTTTCTGATGCCCTGTCTACCGCCCGGCCGGATGATTGTACAGTGGAGAACAAGCACGATCTCAAACATGAATACTACAGAATTATGCTTTCCGATCCACGTGTTCTGACTGCATTGGCCAACGTTATTGTTGTCTCCTCTCTCATGTCTGGTATCAACAACACTCTCCCTGTTCACCTGAGACAAGCATTCGGCTGGAAGAGTTTGCTCATTAGTATGATGTTCTTCTGTCTCCAAGTCCCAAACATTGTTCTCAGTGGCCCATCTGGTTGGCTTCGTGATCGAATCGGAATACGTGGACCTACTGTTTTTGGTTGGCTGGCGTTGATCCCTCTCATCTTACTTCTGGGTATTCCTGGAGACTCCCACTTCCCATGGGCTGGTGGAGATAACGCTGGCAAGTCCATCTTTACCAGCAGCTTGATTGCTTTGGGTAGTATTCTACCTCTTGTGCGCGGTGTAGGAGCCGTGCAACTGGCCTGTGAGTGATTCTATTATATGTGCTGTCCATTTCCCCGCTAACAAATGTGACTTTTTCAATATAGATGTTGTCAAGGACATGGAAGCCAAAGACGCACATATGTTCGAGGCCAACAGAAGCAACTTGCGAGTCTTTTCCATGACTGAAGTCGGATTTAGCCTCGGTATGATGCTTGGGCCTTTGCTGACTGGCTCGTTATTCGAATTAGTTGGTTTCTTTTACATGACTGTGGCACTAGGTAAGTCACACAGTCCTATAACTTATCCTTCAATTCACTCACCATATGCAGCTATTACTTGCCTCATCCAGGCCGTGGTTTCCTGGCGTTGGTTGGATACTTTGCCCTCTCCCGAAGCCCCCGAAACTTCGGTTTAAAATGTTGGAACGGTTGATATATATGCGTTGAAAAAGCGTTTATTGTGATACGAATATTTTAGCAATGTTGATTAAGATAGGTGTATCCTTCAGGGTACATTTGAGATAGAAAATAAAAAAGCAGAAATATCAACCAAAAAAGTGCAGAGATATGTAGTCTATTAATATTTCTATTAGAATCGGCACAGTAGTTGTACAATCGGCGATTGGTGGTTGGTGAAGATAACGGGATCTACCCCGCGAGGTATAAAGTGGCAGTTCCTCCGTCCCTCTCAGAAGCGCCATACAACAATGACCGAATCAAAGACTGAGATCTCGCAGCTGGCCGATTGTAAGAATATCCCGATTATCGACCTCTCATCTTTGGATAGTCCAAATTTCAACGAGCGACGGAAACTTGCTCAATCAATCTATGATGCTTGCACTCAGGTCGGCTTCTTTTACATCAAGGTACATGGCTCTTATTGTACTATTGAGCTTCGTCGGATATTGACAGGACCTTTCAGAACCATGGAATTCCAGAGGAGAAAATCAATAGCATCCACCGTTCCGCAAAGCGGCTTTTCGATCTGCCCGAGGAGCAAAAGATGAAGATTTATATTGGGAACTCTCCTGTGCGTCAACAAACTTGAACAGAAAGGACATACTAAGACTATAATAGAAATTCCGCGGTTACAGCCCCCTAGGTGGTGAGAAATCCACTGGGACAGACGATGATCCCATTGCTGAAGAAGATGCTGTCAATGCTCTCTCTGAAGCATTCGACATCGGATACGAAACTGCAATGGATCCTCAAAAATCAAAAGATGACCCTCTTCCTCATGATCTCTACGGATTGTATGGTGATAATCAATGGCCTAGCCAGGATATACTTCCAAATTTTACAGAGACCTATGTTGAATACTGTGTCATGATGCTAGGGCTCTGCCGAAAGCTGATGAGAATATTCGCCCTCGCTTTGGAATTGCCCGAGGAGCACTTCGATTCGATGACCAAGAACCCAGGTGTCACGTCCAGGATGATGCATTACCCACCTCAGCCGGTGAAGGAGGAAGTCCGTGAAGGGCTTGGGGCTCATACGGTAAGTAATGGACTAAAACCCAGAAGAAAATAACAAAAGACCAATTTCCTTATTTGCTATCAGGATTTCGAATGCTTCACTATCCTCTCCCAGGGTAGTGTCCCGGGGCTGCAGGTGTTGAGTCACAGCGGCGAGTGGATACTGGCACCACCATTGCCGGGAACACTGGTCGTCAACATTGCAGATTGCTTGTCCATTTGGTAGGATCCTTCGGTTATCCACCAGAGCGTGTGCTAACTCAATTAGGACGAATAAAAAGTTCAAGTCGACTATTCATCGTGTGACAAACTTGACCGGGCAAGAACGTTACTCTATCCCCTTCTTCTTTGGAGTTGACTATGATACAACAGTGTCAGTTCTACCGAATCATATTTCGGATGATAGACCTGCATGCAAAGAGCCCTTTAAGGCAGGCGAGGTACGTGATAGAATAGATCTACTACCGGTGTGATAACTGACGAGGGAATAGTGGGTTCGCGAAAAGCTATCGAAGGCTTACGTTGGCTATGAAGGCTAGTGGTTTGTAGTGGATAATGGGTCTTTGTTGTCAGATAGAATTTTCACCTTATTGTGTTGAACTTATACATGTAGTATACAATTCTACAAGTCCATATATGTATAATCCGAATCAGAACGAAGACATCATTGGGTGCATATCCAACATATACATGTTATGCAGAGGCTTGATCAATTCATCATATTTAATCTCACTTGACCTTGAACTAATGTCCTCCCAAGCCCAACCCAGCGGTGTCCCAATCCAGAATAAGGAGTTTGTAAGCATCAAATCCCGAGGCCTGTTCCCGTAGGAACCCCGCACATGACGACGGAAGGTTGCCTGAGCACAGAGCCCTATATTAAAGTGCATCGAACAACATACGCAGCATCCAGAATAAAAGCCATTGATTTCAAAATGTCGTTGCCATTCAGTACTCCGCCTTCGACGGCGACAGCCTCGCTCACGCCATTCAAGGCCACCATTCCCAAAGCTAAACTGGCTGAGCTCGAGACATTAATAAAGTTAGCGAAATTGGCACCGACCACATACGAGAATTCCCGAACAGACCGTCGCTATGGTGTCACTACAGATTGGCTAGTCACTATGCGGGATCAGTGGCTGAGGTCTTACCACTGGTAATGATACTTCAGCGCACCGTGCATGTGCACTACAATGCATGCATGATATTGGACACAGGGCTAAAATATCACACTAGGAAATCTTCTGAGGATCGAATCAATAGTTTCCCTCAGTATACGACGGAGATCGAAGGTCTTACGATTCATTTTGTAGGGTTGTTTTCAGAAAGGAAGGATGCTGTTCCTATCTTGTTGTTGCATGGATGGCCTGGTAGGTCTATAGCTTGGCATCGATCTCACAACGAGCAATTCAGCAATTCGTGGAGACTGACCTAATGTATCAAAGGGAGCTTCCTCGAGTTTTTGCCTATACTGCAAAAATTCCGAGAGGAGTACACACCGGAAACCTTGCCTTATCACCTGATTGTACCTTCATTGCCAGGTTTCACTTTCTCTTCGGGACCCCCACTGGATAGGGACTTTGGAACAGGTGACATTGCCCGTGTTGTGGATCAACTCATGAAAGGTCTTGGTTTTGAGAGCGGGTATGTTGCCCAGGGAGGTGACATTGGAAGTCGGATTGCCAGGCATTTGGGTGTGGACCACGAGAGTTGCAAAGGTATGGAACACCCATGATATTCTGACTGGGTTAGTTGAGCTTTTTCTGACAAGTTGTAATATAGCTGTACACGGTGAGTACTTCCTCCACAGAGGATATCTGATATCCAATGACTTGAATGCCAATATAATCTAGTCAACGTGGTTTTCATGAGAAAGCCAGACGGCATGACGGACGACCACCTGAGCGCCTTTGAGATAAAAGGCATCGAGAGAATGTCGAACTTTATTGCTACGGGCTCAGGCTATGCGACTGAGCAAGGCACTCGACCCAGCACCATCGGGCACGTTCTGTCATCGAGCCCTATGGCTCTACTAGCGTGGTAAGCCGCGGAAAGCACAGCGTAGTCGACAGGAACTTCAAAGCTGACACCCGCAGGATTGGAGAAAAATTCCTAGAATGGGTCGACGATCCGCTTGCCCCAGAGGATATTTTGGAATCTGTCACCTTGTACTGGCTTACGGAGACGTTCCCTCGAGCGATCTATACTTATCGACAGGTGAGTTTCCTCCAGATTTTCATCTTCCACGAGCACACATCTGATGGGAATGAGTAGAACTACCCTTCGCCACCAATTCCGGCCTCCAATGACCCCCGTTGGTATATCCACAAGCCATTTGGATTTTCGTCTTTCCCTATGGAACTTGCTCCATTGCCGCGCTCGTGGGTTGAAACCACTGGAGATTTGGTATTCTGGGAGGAGCACAAGAAGGTATGGACTGTGGCAGTTAAACAAGAAATGAGATTTAATACTAATGCTGGTTTCCTACAGGGTGGTCACTTCGCGGCACTAGAGCGGCCCGATGAGTTGAAAGCGGATTTGGTCAAATTTGTAGACCAAGTATGGCCAGGTATCACTGGCACCGAATAAGTTGGGGTCAATAACCAGGATAGAAGAGTGAGTGTTAATATAAATGAGTTTATTTTAGGATATATTCAGGGACTGTCATGTTATAGCAACGACCAAAGCCTGTGTAAAACATATTTATTGGCCTGAAAGAACCACAGTATACCATTTTAAATTTCTCTTTTATTTGTTAGATTTTAGACTACTTGTTAACCGGGTTAACTTTATTGAATTACTATAGAGCATACAATTATAAAAGATCAATTAAATTGTGGGGTGCTTATATGACCTTCTAAATGTCTGTTTATATATGTATATATTTGTATGAAGGCTGTAAAGAGCACTTTTGTATATATACAATACTATTTGATGATTACGACTCCTAACCTTAGAACTTTAGAAACCTTAGAAGTGAGAAAGGATAACTGTATAAACTGCTGCCTGGTAATATCCATGGGTTATCAAATACGAAATTTATGTTCCCGGTACACTTAGTCGTATATGTTCATGGACCGGTGGACTGGTATAGTAGTTGAGGGTGCGGGAGATTCAAATGCGGGTTGTTTATCAGATCGCGCCCACTACTTCATCTTCCTCCATCTTCAACTACACCTTAACGGAAACCACCAGAGCATCATATTCTTTTTCCAGCGCCACCTAAAAAAATGGCATCAACTACAGTAGCCGATGAAATATTCTCCGACGAATCAAGCTTTTACGGTAACCCCATCACATACTCCAGTCCACACAAGAACCCCATCTAATCCATATCAGGCGACGAAGATGAAAAGACCGAACTAGAAGCACAAGTCTCATCGTACGACCCAGAGCCATTCTGGGTAGAAACCCACCAGAAGCTTCTATCAACCATCCAGCAGCAACTGCGCGCGCCGCCGACACGCGCAAAGGCTGCACCATCAGACATCTCCATGGAAGATGCATCTCCAGAACCAGGCGTCATACCACGCAATCAGCGCGGGAAGACCGAGTCCATAGCTCGCTTTTTATCGCGTCTCCCGCCCTCAACAATAGAAGCCGCGGACGTAGGTCCCTGGATCTGGATGTTCAATCCGCATATGCCATCCAAGCAGAATGGGGATGGGGATGTTCCCGCCCTGCTTCGAAAAGGCAGGGAGCTTCTTCAGGAGTACGAGAATGAGAGCACAGTCCTGCGCGAGGCGCATGATAAATCTGGCGCGAAAACTACGGCCGCTTTGACGCGTAAATTGAATCCGATGCGGAAAGAGCTCGAGAAGAGTATTCTTGATGTCGCGAGGGAGACTGGTGTTACCAGTGGGAAGTGGATGCTTTTTCCGACTGTTGATCGGGTTGATGAGTTCTGGGGGACGGTTGTTAAGGCGATGGAGAAAGGAGAGCTTGGAGATGTGGCGAAAGTTGCTACTAATGATGGGGGCGGAGAGAGTCGTTTGATTTGTGTTTACACGGATGATTTCGGGGATGTTGAAGATGTTAAGCGAGTAGTAAGTAAGTTGGTTGATATTGGGCTTGTTGGAAAGGGGCCTCGGTCTGTTTACTACAAGTCTGATGCGTTTACTCATCTGGAGATTAGTTCTAAGAATGAGTATGGGCTCAAGGCGAGTATGTATTCGAGTCGGGAGGTGCTTGAGGGAAAATAGGTGGGATTATGGCTGGTTGGAGTTTGTTTATGATTGACGAGGATATGATTGACGATTAATGTTATGCTGTAGTGGGTATCTCTGAACGCAGTTATCTACATATTTATGATACTTCATGTGTTTCCGAACATTGGTGGTAAACGGTGGGCTGTATGTCCAAGGCATTCCCAGAAGCCGGGGGAACGGGTGGTTCGTTGGAACCAGGGCTGGAGGCAGATAACGATTGATCATGTCTTGCATAGATCAGGGCGATCTGTCCCCATGAACGAGCCGGCTCATTCATGGTCACAGCTGTCGGTTCAGCCAGACGTGGTGGCTCACTTGGGCAACAGTCCATTGCCGAGGAGCTCCAACCACATGGATTATGGCTAGCCGAAGAAAGGTGTGTGTAATCAGGTGCTCAATCATCGTGACTTTCCCTGTTCATGACTTTCTCACATGCTTCCCGAATCTCAGCAACCCCCTTAACATCACCCCAGGCGTCGAGTAAATGCTGGATCTCTTTCCAGTCCTTCTCCGCATCTTCTTGTTTATCCTCCGACACGAGCTTTTCCAATCTCTGTGGTGCAGCAAGCACCCACCGGACAGTATCCTTCTCGCGCTTCTGAGTTGAAGCTTCGTCTTCCTGTTTCGCTTCCTTCATTCGCCGGCGCTGCTCCTCACCTTCCTTAATGAGTCCCCCAGCAGTCTCGGCAACAAAAGCAATAGCCGGGCCAAGCGTTTTCGTCATAGTCAACGGCGCACCGCGATCATCCATACTGCGCCGCATTTTCCCTATTGTCTCCACTGCGCGGATCAACTTTGAGTAGTTATCGTAGACCAGCGCCTTCCGCTCTCCGTCGAGAGTGCGGATATCTCCAACCAACGTATTCTCCGCCTTGAGAACCGTGGACAGGGACGACGATGACAAGAGATGCTCGACATACCGCTGTGGGTCGAAGTCTGGGCTGTCAAGCTCCGTTCCTGGCCCTAGAGCGGTTGGATCGGAGATATCTCCTGCATCTGTGTTCCGTGGCACACTCCGGGAGCGAGATGGGTCTCGGGAGGCAGACGTGTCTGCTCCAGGTGGTTTGAGGTTGTAGTAGTCTCGCAGGGCGCTACGATTGCGTCGCGGGTTGAGTGAGGGGGAGAGCGCTCGTGCGGTGGATGGGGTAGATGCGGCGCTGAGTCCCCCACTGACGTTGGTGCTCAAGGCATCGAGTGATGGGCGGGATGATGTTGGGCCTGGGGAATGGGCTCGGGAGGAGGCAATGGACGGACGTGGGGATGATAGTGTCGACATTGCGGCAGGTTTTGAGGGAGGTGTATCGGAGTTGTCGGAGGTGAGAGCGTCGGGCCAGGTCAATGGCTTTAAGCGGTGGTCTGTGCTTTAGTTTTTGCGTTGAGAGCTTCCCCAACTTCGATGCTTTCCTTTGATTTACCATACGCGCCAATATGATCCTAAGGGAATCCAAGGCATCATGACGAGTCCTGATCAAATCGCAGCTCAGATACTGAGCACCAAGTCCCTCTCAGTCGCCCAACCCTGGCTCAATGCCTTCCTATCATCATCTAGCACGGCGCAACGAAATATCCCCCCTCGGCTCTCGCAAAGACGGCTATATTCCGTCTTCTCGCGTCCGATATCAAAGAATCACTCTCCAAACACAGATCTTGCGTACTACCAGTCGACATTCATGACCCGACAGTCCAAGAGCGACAGCTACAGGGCTCAATCCCCGTGCAAGTGCTAGACATTGAAGACATTGGCACGAGTCTATGGAGCCAGATCGAAGCGATTGAACGTGTTGAGCGCGGCGAGGCCATCCGTGGCCGCGAAATTGTGCGCACAATAGCTGTAGGCGAGGACCCCGAGGCGTCGGAGAACAACCGCGCAAATAATAACCCAGCGAACGGTGCTGCGAGTGCGTCGGGGAACAGTGGGTATGGACCGCACCGGCTGATTCTTCAGGATGCAGCAGGAACTATGGCTGTGGGTGTTGAAATGCAACGTATTGATGGGATAGCGTTGGAAAAACTTGCTATTGGGGCGAAGCTCTTGCTCCGTAATCCATCTGTTGCGAGAGGTATGGTGCTGCTTTCTCCGGGATCTGTTACTCTACTTGGGGGCAAGATTGAGGCTTTGGATAAATCGTGGAGGGATGGTAGGAAGGCTAGGTTGCTAGAGAAGACTGCAGGTATTGAGAGAGAATGAGAAGAGAAGTCATCGTGGCCTCAATTAGCTGCACAGTCGGCGGAGTGTGGTTCTTTTTACTACGCATTTTATTATTATTATTAAGGTATGGGATTTGAATTTATCTTAAACTATCATGAATACATTTGCGTTGAATTTGATATTGTCATGTTCATTCGCTAAAAAGCTGATGTGCAGTTAAAAAATAGATACACTGTGCATCAAGTTCACCCAACCCTCGCGCTTCAAGCGTATGGCGCTTGTGTGGCAGGGTAGTTACCTCATGGACCGAAGTAATCGGTCCATGGCCTGTACAGCGCTTCTATGCTAGGAGAGATTTCTCGTCATCCGAATCCTCCGATTTATGGCCAGTGCAGCGTGTCCACATGTTCCGGGTAGGTACATTGTGCTTCAGTTCCTCCCATCCAGTACGTTTCCACGGGGCAATCATGATCGCTCGGAAAGCGTCACCGACCTTTCCAGTTTGCGCGTAGGCTTGGCTGAGCTCCTCGGCTCCGAGATCACCGTAAGGAGGCACGCTCCGCAGAGCGCGTTTGATAGTCATGGCGGCTGGGTACGGGTTTCGCGACACTGCCGACAACTCCATCCATCCGGCAGATTGACCAGGTGTAAGCATTACAGCAGTGGTGGCATCTCCAAGGCGCCTGACACTTTCGTGAACGGTTGCATTATCGCTGAGGCCCATTGCTGAAATGGCACTCAGAAGTTTGATGATTTTAGCTCGGTCGTGGACATCGATGTCATCACGGGAGATCATGCTATTAAGGTCTGATTCAACTGCTTCAACGGCGTCCTGGTCCGCATCGAGGAGAGCAATGGTACCCATGAGGGTGACTGCTCCGACATGGCTAGGGTGGTTCATCACGCAGTCGAGTAGTTGCTCACGAGCAACAGACTGGTTCTCCTCGCCACCCTTGGCCCATAGGACCTGTGCAAGAAGACAGACAACATCAGGAGCATTCTCTGCTTCTTCGAGAGCGTCACGGAACATATCGATGGCTTGGTCCATAGACTTCAGATTGTAATATGCTAGACCAGCGGCAAGATGCGCAGACAGACGAAGCTTCTTGCAGGTTTCGGGGTCAAATTTCTCCGCGTCATCCTCCCCAGAGAGAGAGAGCGCGAGCTCGGCCTTTTCGGCGGCCTCTTCATAAGATTGGCGTGCAAGCAGGACACGAGCCATATCTGCGTTTGCTTGGGCATACCTCGAAAGGGAAGCTGGTGACTCAGTCTTTTCGAACTCATCTTCCATGCCTGAACAGACAACCTGCAGCTTAGACTCGGCATCTGCAGTCTCGCCCATTCTTTCTGCCAAAAGGGCCGAAAGATGCACAAATGGCAAGTTTGACGGATCTTGGATACAGAGTTGTTGCAGTGCGAAGAATGGCTGAATGAGTTCGGCCACATTAGAGGATGAGGCCCCATTGAGATGATCAAAGTGGGTCAAGCTGAACTGACGCTTAGTGAGAATATCGGACGAGTTTGAGATCTCAAAGGCATGCTCGAAATAACCTTTCGCCTCCTGTGTCTCGTGAACATGAAGTGAAACGAAGCCTTGGCCAACCCAAGCTGGTGAATAGTCTGGGTCAGTGGCCTGTGCTCGCAAAAAGGTCTTGTATGCTATGTCGCCTTCTCCATGGAGGAGATAGAGTGCTCCGAGATTTGTCCAGACTTGCGCGTTGCGTTCATTCAGATGCAAACTTCGGACAAACGCATGCTGAGAGACCTTCGGACTCATGATTGCAGTGACGACACCCAATGCGTTCCAGAAATCGGCATTGCCCGCCTCTAATTCGATTGCTCTCTTGAAGCAGCGCATGGCTGCTTTGATGAACTTGCGAGACTTCTTGCCTTTCTTGGTCGAGTCCGGCTGCACATTGCGGTAGGCCAAATATTCAGCCCAACCAAGGTTGTACCAGGCAACTGCTTGGGAGTGAGTATCATGCACGGAAACATGGAGTGCACGTTTAAAAGCGATTATGGACAGGTGAACATAGAACTCAGATGGCATCGACTCTTCACTTTCATTGGCTGCAAGCCAATCAGTTCCAACGCCATCAATATCGGTCATGACATCAAGGGCCATAGGGTCGAGATCGACCTCTAGTAAAGCCTTGCAGCTGGAAGCAGACAACTTTCCAGTCTTGGCCTTCATGCAGGAGAAGTTGGAGAAGGCATCTCCTACAGCCTTCCACAGGTTGAAAATGTCGCTTTTGATCTGCGCCAGCGAGCTGGCCACCGAAATAGCTTGGTATGCGAGCTCTGCTGCATCGTTGAAGAGACCTTGGCCAAGGCTCTTCGCCGAACTCTCAGTCAGGGTCTGAAGAAGCGCGAGAGTCACACCAATGTCACCAGGCCGGGATTTCAAGACATCTTCGTAGGCAGCGATGGCGTCGTCATACTGGCCAAGCTCCCGCCTGACGTTTGCCAGCATATACCTTGCAAACCATACATGTTCCTTGTCTTTATCTGAGAGCCCTTGTTCCAATAGTTCTGCTTGCTCAAAGGCCTTGGTGGCGGCGTTGTATCGACCAGAGTGGTGATAGCTTTCGGCAAGACCGACCCATGAGTGGTAATCTGTTGGCGCGAGTCGAAGCGCTGCTTGGAAGGACACAACACTTTTGCTGTATTGCTGTTTGTTAACCTGAACAGACCCCAGTGCCGCATATGGCCAACTGAACCCTCGGCGCTTTGAACCAGGGGAAGGCCTAGCCTTGCCGGAGTCCACCACCCGCTGCGCAACTGCTTCAACAAGGTCCCATTCCTTCGAGTCGGCAAAGCCCCTGGCAAGACGCTCGGCGGCTTCGATCTCAGAGGTAGACAGTTCAAATGCCTTGTGGAAGCATCTGCGAGCTCTGGCTTTATCCTTCTTGTAGTCTGCGTAGTAGAAACCAAGGATGGTGTATGCTGGAGCGAAGTTCATATTAGCCTGGATGGAAGCAAAGAGACTAGCATAAGCACCACTGCGATCTTTGCGCGCAGCTGCAGACGGGTCAAGCTCCCACTGGCAGTAACCAATGCGGTAAAGAAGCTCAGATTTGAACTCCCTGTTGTCCGGTTGGGCTGCTTTCAGGTCCTCGTGCGCAGCCTGAAGGCTGACTAGGCCACCTTGAAGATCGCCATTCAATGCTTCACACCAAGCAAGCTCTCCGCGAATCTTGAGGTTAGCAGGATCGCGTTCAAGTGATCGCCGCAGGAAGTCAACAGCTTCTGCATAGTCCTGATCCTCTTTCAAAATCAGACCAATCCCAAGCAGGCAATTGGAGGAGGTTGGGTTCCGTTTGAGGATCCCCTCGAAGATTTTCTTCGCATCTGGATGATATCTGGGGGATTGATAATAGATCATGGCATTGGCAAGTGCGTTGTTCAGGGAATCAACGGTGTTAGGAATCTTGACACCACTGTACTTTACCAATTTCTCAATGTACAGCAACCCCTTGCGAGCAACATGGATCACGCTCTCATAGTCTTCGAAAGAGAGGTAGACATTTGCTAGGATACGGTGGGCAATAATGGAATCTCGAGCGGAGTCCAAGCCCGTGACCATAAGGACGAGAGGATCTTGAGGAGCAGTTTCCCCGTCATCAATTTCGTTACCAGGCTGTGTGGCTGTGACTTCCTTGCTATCCTTGCCATCTTTGTCATTTGCTTCGTCCGAAAGGTCCTTGGGAAATGGCGATAGGTCGCTCAATAAGAAACCTTTGAGAACCTGAGAGAGCCCAGATTCTGGGAAAAACTCAATGTACTCACGCAGGTGCCCCACATCATACTGGGAGAAATCCTGAACATCCAGCCACCCTAGGAAAACCTTCCATGCGGGTTCGAAAGGATGTTTGATAATCACCATGTCATGTGCTGCCTTAAAAACAGCTGCTCTCTTCCCCTCCTTCTCGGCATCAGGCAGAAATCCGAGTTCTTCATATGCGCGCTGAAACAACTTCTCCTCGTAATGACGGCGTTCCGTATCGTCGTTGGTCCAATCAATCATTCCTTGATAAAATTGATCCAATCGGCTCTTGTTGGCAGCCTCCCGACGAACTTCCTGGGTGACTTGTTCGATGCGAGCACCAAGGCGCGTTCTGCGCTCTCCAATCTCACGATTGATAAACTCTCTTTCCTGGCGCTCGGTGATTTCAATCAATCGCTGGTATGTTTGGGATGGACGAGGCAACCGGCCCTCAAGAAAGTCGTATAGAGGTGAGCCCGGTATCTGGAGTTCCAATGCATGCTTGTGTTGGGCTAGGGTCCCCTTGTTCTTCATTGTCTTTGTGTACTTGTTGACCATATCTTGGCAGCGTTCCTTCTCGTCGCTATAAGTTATTAGCACTATGTCCTTCCTGTGGAAATCACAAAGGGGTCAAAGCATACTTCTCGGCGAATATCTTTCCAAGGGCAATGACTGCCTTGTGATAACCATCATGATCACAGCCACCCTGTTTCTCGTACAGGGAGATCAAACCCTGCCAAGCAGTTTTGTCATTGGGATTGATACCTAACGCAGCATGATAGGCGTTCTCCGCGTCTTGGTTCCTATTCAATCGATCGCAAGCGAGACCGAGGAAGACATTCCTTAAAAAAAAACAACCAAGTTAGCCATGCTCCAACCAGAATTAGAATCAGGAATTATCATACGCGTGGTAATTATTCGGCTCATTCTTGACAAGCTCCTTTGCTTTTGCAGCAGCGGCTTGGTAATCTTGCGATTCCAAAGCTGCTCGAACGGCTTTCAATGCCGCTTTGCTCGACATCGTTCCCGTTGTGCAAAGGCAGCGGGGAGAAACTGTCTTGGTGGAGCAAAGCCGGTCGGCTAGCTCGCGATACGTCACTTCTTATCGTTATCAAAGGTGGACACCAATGGACCTTCGAGCTGGCAATGAGCTTGTTGTTAACTTGAAAGGCTAAATCGGCAAATAAAAGAAAGTAATCACCTTGGATATCTCACGGCATACGTTCTGATAACGAAGAGCAACTCGAGGGAGTCAGGATCTTCTGCGAGGTTTCTGAGAGTGGTCGGAATCACGTGTTCTAGTGATTTGAACGAAGATATCGGGCAGCTCGGCACTAGTGACCTTTGTAAAAGGTTACCAAAGCTCGTTCGCAGGCTATTTCAATACTGCTAGTCGAGTTGAGTCGGAAAGTCGTTGCCTGTATCTAGATACCTACTTCCCGCGAGCTGTGGACTTTGTATACTTCGTTTCTTGACTTGCCCACCCTTAAGCATCCCGCGCGCTCGGCACTACGACCTCATTCAACTTTGACCTTCGGTACCACTGGGGCAAGAATGGCCCCTCTCCGCCTGAAAGTCGAGGGACAATCTTTTCGAGACCCTCACAACCGGGAGATTACACTCAGGGGGATAAACGTTGCGGGCGATGCGAAATACCCAAAGACACCCGACATCCCTACATACATCGCCGACAAGTTCTTTGACGGGGACAATGTCTCATTCGTTGGACGGCCTTTTCCATTAGAGGATGCCCATATTCATTTCAAGCGCCTTCGGAAATGGGGTTATAACACTATCAGGTACATCTTTACCTGGGAAGCCATCGAGCATGCGGGGCCAGGAGTTTACGACCATGAGTGGGTTGAATTCACCATAGAAGTTCTCCGGGTAGCCAAACAATACGATTTCTGGGTCTTTATGGACCCGCATCAGGATGTGGTAAGTTTATGTGAATCGCCCCAAAGAACTTACAACCAACCCTCATACTAACTAACCCCCTCTTAGTGGTCTAGATTCTCAGGAGGGTCTGGGGCGCCGATGTGGACGCTCTATGCAGCGGGACTAAACCCTAAAACCTTCAAGAGCACGGAAGCCGCCTTGGTTCAAAACACATACGATATCCCCGCGGAGTTTCCCAAGATGATCTGGAGCACAAATTATACTAGACTGGTTTGTCAAACCATGTTTACTTTGTTTTGGGCTGGGCGGGACTTTGCTCCTAAGGCAGTGATTGATGGGATCAACATTCAAGATTATCTCCAAAACCACTTTATTAACGCGTGTGCATATTTGGCACGGAAAATTCATGAAGCGGGTGATCTTGATGGCGAAGTTATCATTGGCTGGGAAAGTATGAACGAGCCTCATCGCGGCATTATTGGTGTGCAAGACATTTCAGTAATTCCGCCGGAGCAGCAACTGCAACTTGGTACTTCACCGACAGCATTCCAAGCAATGCTTACTGGCTCAGGCAAGGCCTGCGAGCAAACAACATGGGCGTTTGGAAACTTCGGACCTTATAAGACTGGCACAAACCTAGTGGACCCGGCAGGTGAGATAGCCTGGTTGCCAGCTGACCATGATGATAGCAAATATGGCTGGCAACGTGACCCTGGGTGGAAACTTGGAGAGTGCATCTGGGCTCAGCATGGAGTTTGGGACCCATCTACAGACACGCTTCTACAGAAAGATTACTTCTCAAAGAACCCCACGACGGGCGCGCCACTTGACTATGAGAAATTTACCAACTCGTATTTCTTGGATCATTACCGAGAATATAAAAATGCCATTCGAGGTATCTGGCCCGACGCAATAATGTTTTGCCAGCCACCCGTGATGGAGATACCGCCAGATGTCAAAGGCACTGCTGACGACGACCCGAACATGGTCCATGCGGTTCATTTCTATGATGGGTTAACTCTGTTGACAAAGCATTGGTGAGAATTGGTCAAGGTTATTTAATTAGATGTCGGTGTACTGACCCCTGCAGGAACCGACTGTACAACGTGGATGTCATCGGGGTTCTCCGGGGCAAGTACCTCACCCCTGCCTTTGCGCTCAAGGTTGGCGAGACAGCTATTCGCAACTGTTTGCGTGACCAGCTCAAGTTCCTCCGCGATGAAAGCCGGAGTTACATGGGCAGTCATCCGGTGGTATTTACTGAGATTGGAATTCCCTATGACATGGACGACAAGAATGCATACAAGACCGGTGACTATAGTAGCCAAACGAGTGCCATGGATGCAAATCATTTTGCACTGGAGGGCAGTGCTTCCAATGGCTTCACTCTGTGGGTATATGTCACACAGGTAGGTATCTTTGCTCCTCAAAACATGAATGGTATTGACACACTGTAGAACGACCACGAATGGGGTGACCAATGGAATGGGGAGGACCTGTCCATTTATTCTCGCGACGATCTAGAACTGCCAGCAGGATCCAACGCACGGCCTCTTGATACCAATTCCCCGGCCTACTCCGAAAGCCAGAGTAGCGGGGCAGAGCCAAATGTTGGACCTCGTAATCTCAAGGGTGCTTTGTCAACCCCTTCGATCTCCAGTGACAACTCCCAACCATCTCTGCGAGAGCAGCAAGGTTATCGCGCCGCAGAGGCATATCTCCGTCCGAGTCCAACTTACGTGAACGGGAAGTTAGATAGCCATGTTTTCGATCTCAAGAATTGTGCGTTTACTCTATCGCTGACGGCCAAGGGGGCAACCACCGCAAATGCCCCAACTGAAATATATCTTCCTGAGTTCCATTTCCCAGAGAGCAATATCGTGGTTGCAGTCAGCGGTGGCAAGTGGGACATTGACGTCCAAGACATCCAAGGTGTCAAACTACAGCACCTGCGATGGTGGCATGCTGAAGGAGAGCAGGACATCAAGATCGAGGGACTCAAGCGCAAGCCTGGGGAGTTTTCTAATCCTGGAGGTGCTGATGTCAGCTATCTGGAGCAATGCCAGAAGGGCCAGTGTGTCATGATGTGAAGTTATTAGTTCCAAGGTTATATTTCGAGAGCTGGAGTTCCTATTTACCAATTTGAGATCAATTTTTTCCATATATATATTTTTATTTTTCAATATGTTTTTTCCTTTGCTTCTTCAAATTTTAAATCTCAAACTTCAAATGGTAAAAACTGGACAAAAGGCATCAAATGAGTCTTCAAATCAAACCCAAAGTTATTTTGAGTGTATATGTATGTGACAGGTCTATAAGTCGAAGTATACAAACGACCGTGGGTATGTGAGATAAGATAAACAATGATGAGGGGCATTAGCTCACATACTAGGCAGCTATGATGACATTAAAACAACGTTGATTAGCATAGAATAAAGAAATATTATAGCAATTGTTACCTAAATAATCGTCTATAACCTTGAAATGTTTCAATCGAGTCTTCTATCTAGTGCATCGCAAATGTGAAAGAAGAGCGGAGCATCAATGGGTGAGCGGTGTGCCCTTGTTGATCTTCAGGGAAAATTCTCAGCTCGACAAGTCACCAATTGTCTTTTGCAAGTATTCCCTCTCGTGATCTTACTTCGCCAACTACCTACATTGCAAAAGTACCGACTTACAACTTCAAGTCCGATCCTCAACCTCGAGCCACCCTTCCCCCGGAAAGAGCGAGTGGCGCGTGCGGATGGCCGTCGCGGTGTCCGACTGCTAAACTGACACAGGACAAATTCAACGGCCATCGAGTCTTACCTGCGCTCCTCTGACTATGAGACGCGGTCTACAACTGTGAAACAAGACCGAGATTTTACTTTTTTGTTCACAAAATACTTCTCCAACGCGTCGACAAGATGGCTGCGGAGGAGCTGTCGGAGGGCGGCATGGCCGACATCATCCGTGCCCTGCAACTCATTCACAACCCCACGTCGTCAAATGATATACGGAAGGAGGCTTCCCAATTCGTGGAGAACTTGAAAGAGTCTGATGCCGCGGCGCGAAATGGCTTCCTTTTGGCTTCCCGTATGGAGCATGAGCCGGTTGTCCGATACTTCGGTCTTACTCTCCTCGATCACGTTCTTCGCCAATACAACTTCACAAACCCCGAAGAAGCCAAGACCTTACGCATGATGATTTTGCAACTGGCCGAGAACATCCGCCCCGAAGACCCTGCCTATTTCCGGAATAAGATCTCCCAACTGTGGACCGAGGCCGCTAAGAAGACCTGGGGGCTGGATTGGATGGATATGGATGCCAACTTGGTTCAGTTCTGGGGTGCATCTCTCGTTCACAAAGAGCTGGTACTCGCTGTTCTTGAGACCCTTTCCGAGGATGTCTTTTTCCGAGAAGATACTGCCTCGTCGTTACGGGGAGGTGAGCTCAATCGGTCGCTCATCGAGATCTTTACTCCTACAGGCATCGTGGAGGAAATTACTGGGGATAAGAACATCCCCACCATCCCACGCTGTGGACAGGAGGGCTGGCTAGTTCGAATCTGCGAATTTCTCGACAATTGCATCCAGAATGTCTCTAGCTCGGAACAGGCTCGGGATGCGGCCATAAAAGCCCTGGCAACTTTGAGATCTGCCTTGTCCTGGTCAGTCTACAAAGGTGTTATTGCGTCCCAGGTTGTTCCCAGCATTTTCCGGGCTTTGCCTTGTCAAGATGACCAGGTGCTTCTCTCTGCAATCGAAGCACTTCATGCGCTCTATGGAAGAAATACTATCGGCAGCGAAGACTCGCACGAGCTAGTCTGCCTGATCTTTGAGTCGGAATACCTTGGTGTTCTTCAAAGGCTTTATGAATGGTCAATTGTAGGCCCAGATGACATTGACGAACCCAAATATCTTATCTCTAAAAAGCTTTCTGAGATGGTTTCATACATCGCAGGATGCTTGGAAGATGACAAGTTCTTAGTCTCTACCATGGATCGTTTGAATCTGCCGCCATTCCTGCAGTTCATGGCGAATATCATGCAACACCAGAGCTTGACGGTCTCCATACCTTGCTTGCATCTTTGGTCCAGACTGTTACAAAACTCAAAAATCAGTAACTTGGACTTTGTGGTAG